CATTTACACCACCACCACGAGGGGCCGGGAAATGCACATGAGAGGTACACCCACTGACCGCAGAGTGATGGGCCGAGCGCAGGACGAGGGAGGAGAGGAAGTGAAAAGTGTGAGACAAAAGGGAGGACACAGGGGATCCTCGGAGGGGGGATGTGGGTGGGGAGACTGGCTGTACAAGAGCGTGAGTGTGCGATGGCCTGAGAGGGGAGAGGTGAGTGTGCAAGGCTTATGTGAGTGTGCCAGGGTGGGGACGGGGGGGCCAGAAGCCACAGATAAGTGAGGCCCCCACCTCAAGGAGGGTGAGCAGCTGGGCTTGCCTGTGGGCCAGCGAGTGTTCCCAAGGTGTGAGCCCAGGCAGAGCTGCAGCGCCCACAGCCGCTGTGCCCTCAGCAGGATGGGGGCTATGCCGGGCCCTTGGCCCCCTGCCTGGAGGTGCCCCAACCGTGGGGGACATCACAGATTCACCAGGGGAATCCTAAGGGGCAAAGGGAAAGGGCACAGTCAGGAACCAAGGGGCAAGCCAGAATCAGGAGGGCAGTTAAAGAAATAAAAGGGATGGAGGTTAAGAGGGCAAGATGGAGTGAAACGACAGCATGAGAACAGGACATAGATCTACAGGGAAACGGGTGGGACCCCCCAGAGAGCAGAGGTCCAGTCTCCTGGGGGTGGGCCATTGTGCCTCCTCTCCACCCACCCAGCGGGGAGTGCCCCACCCACATTCCCTGCCCACCTCCTTGCCCACTGCCCTGCCCTCACCGGTTCAGCTGGAAGGCTGGTGCCCCCTTGGGCTGGGGCATCCCGGGCCGGGGTCCCCCTCGGGGTTCCTCGTGGTCAGGAGTGGGAGTGGGCGAATCTCCAAAGGCCCCCAGCACGGTGACCCCGGCTGGGGACAGGTCAGTCAAGGGCTGCTGGCTCTCTTCTTGCCTCAGGGCCCCTTGCTGCCCCGAGGGCCTGCGCCGTTTCTGACTGCGGTCCCAGCTGGCAGCCCCCGGAAGGAGAGAGGTTCTCACCCATTCGAGAAGTCCCCAGCCTGGGCCCCCTCGGGCGCTCGTCACCCCCCAGCCTCCCCCAGGCACCCACAGCATTCGACAGCAGAGAAACCAGCCTCTAACTGTTCCCTAAGCCCCAGATCCTGAGACCCTGTCCACAAAACCACTTCCTGTCCCCGCGCCCCCAGGGGGCTTGGGAATCTAAACCACCCTCCCACCTGGTCCAGAGCCACAGAATGAACACCCCCTCCCCATGGACACACAGAGTCCACCACATCTGCCCCTCCCCCACGCATACCCAGAGAGCCATTTCTCTCCACGGCAGGTACCTGGCAGGTTTAGTTCTAGTTCAAAGTCAGCTAATGACCTGGACACCTGAGTCTAATGAGTCTTGCAGTAAAGTGTGAAGGACTGAGTGACCTGCTATTAAGTGCACGCAAAAAGCTGGGATTTTCTCCCTCTTCCCCTTAAGGCGGCCTTAAGAAGGGCCCTGCAGAATGGGTCTTGGAGGAAATGGGAAAAAGGGATGGCCACCCTAGCCCCCTCAACTTGTGCTCACAATGATCTCCCTACCTCTCCCCCTCTCCTTGAATTTCCCCAGCAGGAACCTGAGCTCATTTCTCACAGCTTCTCTTGCCCAGATCCTTCCTACCTTTCCCCAAGGTCTTGCCTTAATCCATCACTTCCTATTCCACCCCCAGCCAAACTGCCACCCAGGCTCCTTCCAGCCAAAGGAGCCATCCTTCCATCCTTCCATTCATGGGGATGTCAGCATCCACTTCCTGCTGGCTTACCAGAACTTGAAGATGATGCCGGTGGCCACGAGGACAATGATGATGGAGATGGTAATTGTGACATAGAGCTGAGGGTCCACACCTGCTTGGGGGCAGGGGGAAAGTCTTAGGGAGGCCTGGGGCCGGGGGAGCCAAGCGGGATTGGGGGTGGGGTTAGGTTGTAGGTTCAGGAAGCTTGAGCGGTGTTGTCATTGGAAGCCACATCATCCAACTCTTTTTCTGCTTCTTTAGAGCCTCCCTGCTTTATTTTTATCATCAGCTTTCCCCAGAGTTTTCAGCTCTTTCCCTCCCAAATCTTTTTTTCTCCACTTCCCCAAATCTCCTGTATATATGGCATGAGAAGGAGTTCCAAGGTCAGAAAGAGCCTCTCAGAACCTCTCTCTCTCTGCACAGAAACTAGCGGGTGGAAATGTCCATCTCTGCCCTGGCCCCGCCCCCAAACCACTGGCCCTGTGTCTGCGCGCCCTGAGTCGAGGTGTCATCCTGAAGGGCCTTCCTCTGCCTGGACTACTCCCACTGTTTCCAGGGTACAGCTCAAATGTCAATTCTTGGAAGGTGTTCTGATCCCCGGGCAGAAGTAGTCTCTCCCTTCTCTTTGCCTAAAAACATGCTGTGCACACCTCTATTAAGTGTGTGTTACTGTTGACTCATCCCCGACGGTTTACGTGTCTGTCTTTCCCAGTGGACCTGAGCTCCTCTGGGGCTCAGACACATCTTCTTCTCGGCCTCCTGTGCTAGCTCAGGGCCCGGCACACTTGTGGAAGCAGCTGTCACACAGGACCCCTGTTGCTGCCCTGAGAGTCTTCAACCAGTGCCCCGTCCACATCCCTTCCCAGCCTCTCCCACTCACCTTCACCACGGCCCCCGAACAGGAAGGGCCTCAGGGTGGCAGGTGCTTCTCCAAGGATGAGCCCATCTCCATCAGCCCTCATGGAGTCTGAGTTGGGGTGTGGGGTAGCCAGCCCATGGGGGGCTGCAAAACCATAGTCCAGGGGCAGAAATCCAGGATTGGCAGAGTTGGGGTCCCCCCCATCCTCTCGAGACACCGTAGGGCCCCACACAATAGCCCAGGGGTACTGGGATGAGGGTGGACCCTCCTCAAAGCCTGATGGGGTGGCTGGGGGTGCGGTGCCCGGCAGGACTTGCCGACGTGATCTCAGGACCCGAGGGGATCGGCTTGGTGGAGGTGCCCGCTCCCACACACACACATGGCGTGGGGCTGAGGGGCCTCCCCGGGCACAGGGGGGCCGGGCTGGGGCTGGTGGGGTTCGAGGGGAGGAGGAGGAACCTTGAGCAGGTGGTGGGAGGGACAGCAACAGCAGTGGCCAGAGAGAGAGGAGATGGGACAGCAGCAATGCAGGCCTGTGGGAAGGGAGAGAGAGCAATGAGTCTGAGGCCATCTTGGGCTGCCTCCTTCCTCTGTGCAAAAAGTGGCCTTGGGAAGACATGTCTCACTTCCCATCTTCCAGGGGTCGAGCCCTCAGGATGGAAAGCCCTGGGTGGGCCTAGGAGGGAAAGGGTCAAAACTCTAGGGAAAGTGGCCTCTAAGCTTCCTCCAAACTTACCGCATCCTGGACTCCATGTCCGAGATCCTCAGCGGTGACTCAGATTTTCAGCCTTTACTGAGAGAGAGAGGGGTTGTCACATTCCAAGCTTGCTCTGAGGACCTCCCCGGTTCATCCATCCTCCCATTCACCTCCATCTCCCCTCCCAGCTGCAGCTGCCATCTATGCTGCCACCACTCAGGACCCTCAGTTTTCTAGCACTGTCCTGGGGAGGGGAGAGGAAACTCCCAGACCAGTCCCCTGTCTAGCCCTCAGTCCCTATCTGCAACTTCCAAGGTCCCTGTTACTTCCCCACCCCAGGGTCTACTCTTCTCTGGCTTCCTTCCTTCTCACTTCCTCTGCCCACAGCTCCTAGCTTTTCTTGGATCTTAATTTAGAGCCAAGAACCTTGTGATTCCTTGAGCACCTACCGCGAGGGAGGGCGTCTGAGAGGGGGAAGGAAGAGGAAGTCAATCGGATTGAGTGTGTGAAAGGATTGAGTGTGTGAAACGTGTGGGGCTGCACAGAGGGGAGCATCCCAGACTGCCCACCCCACTTGTCCTCCGAGGCTTTTCTCTGAGGAATGAATGGCCCCAGGAATCTGCATCTTCAGAAGCAGAGGAAACGGAGATGGAGGGATGGAAGGAAAGAGATGAGAAAGGGAGAGGTGGGTGGGAGAAAACTACAGAATGTAATTTTTGCTCAGTGTTCAGTCATCCAAATGCATAGGTGCCCTCTGAGAAAAAGTGGAGCTGGGGAGAAGCTGGACCCTCAAATGTTGCTCTCCGGGGTAAAGAGTCTGGGAGAATTATCGGGATGGAGGGTTCTGAAAGAGGAGGACACGTTCTCAGAGTAGAGGGTGGCAGACCCAGGGGGAGGCAGCAGGCTCCCCAGTGAATGAGGATGTGACATTCAATGTCCTCTGGTTTCTGGGTCCAGATCTGGACATGAAGCGCTCTCAGAGAATAACAGGGAGTAAGGTGGGAGAGTCTGGGGAAGGGACTGGGAAAGTGGGCTGTGGAGAGAGCTGTGAAGAGTGACGGGTTGAGAGATGGAAGGCTGGTGAGGCGTGAGAAAGGAGGAGAAAGGTGAAGAGGCAGACGGTGAGGGGGGCTGGTCCCTGAAAGAATGGACTGGGGTGGGGGGCGCGCACAAAAGATGGACAGCTGTAGGATGCTGAGCATAAGAGGAAAGGTCAGGGAGGGAAACTGAGAGGGTTCCGGGGTCGCAGGAGCCGGGGAGGAGGAGGAAAGAAAGGTCCAGGCAGGACGGAAAGTGGAGACCGCGGAAGGAGAGGGAAGAAGAGGGACGGAGGAGACCAGGGATGGGGAGGAAGAAAGGGAGGTGGAGACGACAAGGTACCGAGGACAGAATGAGACAAGGAAGGGACTGGGGAACAGCAAAGATGGAGGAGTTGGAAATTGTTTCTTCCAACGTAAAGAGACACGGAGCTACGGAGAGAGGCAGGGAAGGGGGCCTGGTGGGAAGACACGAGAGGAAGCCAGGAAGAGAGCGAGGCTGCGGGGACCGAGGCAGGAGTGGAAGCCGGTGGAGCGGAGACGGGTTCCCAGGGACAGCTGTGGCCAGCTGACGCCGGGACCCACTCGCCTCTCCTGCCTGTGTATCCCCCCGCCCCAATCAACGTCAACTCCAGTCCCCGGACCCCGCACCCCTTAGTCACCCCCTCCAGGAAGCCCGCAGTCGCCCGGCTGGCGCGCCACCCCCACCCTCCCCTCGCTCCTCACCGACCTGTTGTGCGCAGGAGACGAGCTGGGGGTGGGGCGGGAGTCTGGGGCTGGGGGAGCAGGGCCCATCCCCAGCGCGGCCGCGAGCCCACCCTTCCCGAAGGCCCGCGCTCCCTGGACCCCGCTGGAAAACGATGAGTGTGGGGGTGGGGGGGTAACGAGGACCAGGAGGTAGGCGAAGGGGCTCCGTGGGAGGGAGCGCCGAGAGCAGAAAAGGAAGCCGAGGCAGGAGGATGCGAGGGGCCGAGCCAAAGGCGGGATACAGGCAGTCGCCGGGACCGCTGCGCAGGAGGGCAGGACGGAGTCCGGACCCGCGGTGGGATGCGGAGCGCGGCGGGCGAGGCGAGCTTCTGGGCTGGAGGCTCGAGTCGGGCGGGGGGCCGCGCCGGGAGGGTTAGGGGGCGAAGGGCGCGGAGTCGAGGAGGGCAGGGCCGGGGTCCCTCGGGTGGGGGCGTGGGGGGCCCTCTCGCTCACCTGCATGCCTGGCGCGACGGCGCGACGGCTGCGGGCGCTAGGGGCTGCGCCGGCCTGGGGGGTCGCGGGAACGCGTGGGGCACGGGGCATGGTCGGGGGGTTCTGCGGGCAACGGGGTGCAGGAAAGGGTGGGGGGCGAGCGCCCGGGGCGCGGGGCGGCGGCGGCGGCGGCGGCGGCGGCGGGAGATGCTCGGCTCGGCTCGGCTCGGCTCGGGCTGCGCTCGGCTCGGCTGGGCTCGGCGCGGCAGCTCGGAGCGCGCGGTCCCCGCCTCTCCTCCTCCCCCTGCTCGGTTTAACCCTCCCGCTGCCGCGCCTCGGGAGTCGCGCCCGGCCGCGTCCCAGGTGGAGGGTGGGAGAGGGCAGCGGAGGGTGAGCGACCGTCCGATTCCCCAGGTTCCGGGGGCGGGGTTCTCCACCCTCACCCCAACTCCGTTGACACTCGTGGTTGCCCCAGTGAGTTTCTGAGATTCTGAGTCACCCGAAGCTCTGGGTTCCCTACTCTGTTTCGCCTCTGCTGGGGGATGAGGTGGGATGAGGGTGGGAGTGATGTCCTCGCACCATCCTCGGATCATCCCAACCGCTGGATCCCCTGATTCCATTCTGGCCCAGCTGCAGTGTATCCTTCCCAGAGCAACCCAAACGATCTTTCAAATAAGTGGACCGAGTTGCATTACTCAGCTTTTCTAGCACTCAGAGTATCCCAGCTCCTTACTGTGCCTTAGGAGGCCCCGCATAACCTGGCCCGCCAGGGAACTCTCGGATTTCCCCTCCCATCGCTCTTCATGTCCCAGCCACACTGGACCTGATCTATGTTCCTAGAATCAGAGGAGGTGAACTTGCCTCAGGGCCTTGGCACTTGCTGTTCCCACTGCCTGGACCGTTTTCCCCTGGCTTCTCACAGTGATTCACTCATTTCATTAAAATTTCCCTTTGTTCCTATGTCACCCCTTCTAGGAGGGCTTCCCTAGCCTCTCTAGCTAAATGGGCTTCCCCAGCCCCTAATCTCACCCTGTCCTACCCCTCCTGTGTCTTTCAGGTTACCCTATTTTATTTGGGTTGTGAGCGAACACCATGCTCTTCTAGTTTCCTTTCATTCTCACTGGCTTTTCCTTCTCTGTCTTCCGCTCGACCTCTAAATGATAGAGCTTCCTAGGGCTTAGTCCTTGGCCCCCTTCTCGTTCCACATTCTCTGTCCAGTGATGTCATCCAGTCCCAGGGTTTAAATACTATGTAAATGTCAGCGAGTCCTAAATTTATATCCAACGCTCCAGACTCATTTATCCAACAGCCTACTTGACATCTCCACTTGGATGTCTAATAGCCATGCAAAGCTCATGTGGCTAAAATAGATGTCTTGAATTACCCTCCGCCCCGGTCAGTCCATTTCTGTCTCAGTAGTGTTCCCCATCTTGGAATACGATGGCTTCCACTTTTCAGGCTAAAAACCGAGGAAACATCCTCCCCACCTTTTCCTTTTTGCTCTGATTCCCATCCTGTATCTAATTTACCAGCAAGTTCTGTGAGCTCTACTTCCAAAATATACCATGAATTCATCTCCTTTTCTCCATCATTGTGTTTTAGTCACGCTGAGTGTCACATGGGATCTTAGAACCCGGACCCCCTGCAGTGGAAGCACAGAATCTTAACCACTGGACCACCAGGGAAATCCACTCTGTCATTGTTGATATCACCCTGATCCAAGGCATCTGCTCTCTCTGAAATAATGAAGTGATTACCTAGCTGGTTCCTTGCTTCTGCCTTTGCCCTTTAAAAACTAGTCTTCACAATATCTAGTCATGTTTTGAAAAATCTAAATTATATCATTCTCTTGCCTGCTTGGGCTTCCCTGGTGGCTCAGATGGTAAAGAATCTGCCTGCAATGCGGGAGACCCAGGTTCAATCCCTGGTTGGGTAAGATCCCCTGGAGAAGGGAATGGCAACCCACTCCAGTATTCTCGCCTGAGAACTCCATGGACATAGGAACCTGGCGGGCTACAGTCCATGGGGTCACAAAGAGTCAGACGCAGCAGAGCAACTAACACTTGCTTCCTTAAAACATCTGAGGGGCTTTTCATTGTACTTAGAGTAAAATTCCTTGTTAGGAGAGGCCCGCCCACTAGTGTTCCCCAATATTCAAATGATGTGCCAGATCAGACTTCTAAAAGTTCTAAACATCTGAAATTATCCTCTTGACACCCATGTACTTTTCACTCCAACTTCCTGGAATCCTTTGCCCACCCCACCCCCCATCTTCCTCTTGTTGGGTCCTTCTTGTCATTCAGCCACCCACTCTGTCTCTTCAGAAGGTTTCACTGTCTTTCCGATTCATCACTCTCTGAAATGATCTTATATTTGTTTCCTGTTTATTGTCCACCCCCACCCCACCCCCATATACACTGCAGAACAAAGACCTCATTTGCCTTGTTCATCAGTATCCTTCTTCAGTGCCTGGTGCATAGTAGATGCTCAATATCTGTTGCTTGGTGAACTTCACCTGGGACTCCTGCCCACTCATTCTCTCCCCTGCTCTTCACCTGCCTTTTCTGTCTATCGGCCTGCCCTCTCTGATCTCTGCCCTGTGGTGAATGCGCTAAGTCAAGTCTCTGCTTGCACTCTCGCCTCTCTAGATTCTCACCCCTCATCCCCTGCCTTATTACTATTATTAACCTGACACGCTCGCCTCCCGGAAGGAAACCTGCTGTTCTGATCGGCATCTGCAGTGACTGCCCTCCTGCTCATCTGTCCCTGACAGCCCTTCATTCTGAGGTCAGAAGGCAGTGAGGGAGCCCTCCTCCTAGTGTCTCCCTCAGGCCAGGAAAAATGGTGCACATTTTATGTAAATATGGTCATGTGAAGCTGGGTGTGCAACCCATGTTGTGTCCTGGGCCCCGGTGAGCCCCAGCTACATCCTGAGAATATGCTGGAAGAGGCCTCATTATATGATGAGTGTGGGTCAAATTTATCAAGTGAATATTCACTATCAGTCTAAGTGCCTTTTATGCTAAGTACTTTGGGTCATTATGACTTATTTCAGGTATTCCTGATTGACTCATTCTTGCAAGGACTATTTCTGGAACATCTGCTATAGGCTAGGTACTGAGTTACAGCCTGGGGCATGGTGGAGAGCAGGAACAAAGCCATCACTGTCTTCATGAAACTTAGAATGGAGCCAGGGAGACAATGAAACACAAAGTGATACATGTGTCTTTAGATGAATTTGAGGACCTTCCCACACGCCACAGTCTATAAATTCTCTCCTCGTGTCTGGCTCTGCTGGTATCTTGATCAACTTCTTTGGGCTGACTGGGGCTTCCCAGTATTTGTCAGAGTAAATTGCTGTCGCTTTCCTGTCCTCAAATGTCCAGTTCTTCTGAATTCTTCTCACTCTCAGCTGATGATCTTGCTTGTTGCTTTTTTGAGAAAATAGAAAGAGGGAGAAGAGAACTTCCCCACTTCCACCACCTCATCCCAGCTGCACCTCTCCTTCTGTGGGGGATCCCAGGCTCTTTTCAACCACCCAAAGCTATCACTCCAGCGAATGTATCTCCCTCCCTTGCTCTATCACCTCCTTCTCTCTGCTTGATTATGCCCAGCAGCATGTAAACACACTGTACTTCTTGCAGCTTTAGCTTGAGACAAAACTTCCTTAGCTCCAGGTTTCTCCTCCAGCATCAATCCTTCTCTGCTTCCCGTTACAGCAAAGATCACAGAAGATGCTTTCTGTTCACCCGCTCTTTCACCTCTCTTCCCATTCCTTCTCTTTCTCTTTAATCAACTTAAACTTTAATTTTTGTAATGTATTCTTTTGAATTGGCAATACATTTCCCCATGTGCAAAAAAAAAAACTTTCCAATGTACAAAAATCTGTGTAGTGAAAGTTCTCATTCTCAGCCCGTCTACTAGCTTGTCCAGGTCCCATCTTCTGCCTTCAGTGTGACTCATTTCTACATATTCTTCCAGAGTCTTTTATTCCCACACAAGCAAATAATAGTGAAAGTTCTTATTCCCCCATATACTTGACACAGTCTTACCATACTGTCTACACTGTTCTACATCTTTACTCTTTTTAAAAATAAATATTGGTGGTGAGTAGGGGCTACTCTCTAGTGGCAGTGCTACAGCTTCTCACTGCGGGCTTCTCTTGTTGAGGCTCGGAGGCTCTAGTTGTGGTAAACTGGCTTAGTTGCCCTGCAGCATGTGGGATCTTCCCAGACCAGGAATGGAACCTGTGTCCCTTGCATTGGCGGGCAGATTCTCAACCACTGGACCACCAGGAAAGTCCACTTCCTCTCTTAATAGATGGCATCTCCTTTCTTCCAGTTGATTAGGGCAAAAATCTTGGTATCATCCTTTTTAAAAAACCTTTTGTTTATTTTTTGTCCATGACACAAGGCATGTGGGATCTAGTTCCCTGACCAGGGATCTAACCTGGGCCCCCTGCATCGGGAGCTCAGAGTCTTGGCCAATGGACCATCAGGGAAGTCCAAATTATTTTGGCACAGCTTTTGGGATCTTAGTGCTTGATCAGGGATCAAACCAGGCAGTGAAAGCACAGAGTCCTAACTGGACAGACAGGGAATTCCCTCCACTCTTTTCAAATATCATTTCTCACAAATGGATATAAGTTTAAACAATATGTTACTTCAGTTCAGTCACTCAGTTTTGTCTGACTCTTTGCAACCCCATGAATGGCAGCACGCCAGGCCTCCCTGTCCATCATCAACTCCTGGAGTTTACCCAAACTTGAATCGGTGATGCCATCCAACCATCTCATCCTCTGTCGTCCCCTTCTCCTCCTACCTTCAATCTTTCCCAGCATCAGGGTCTTTTCAAATGAGTCAGCTCTTCACATCAGGTGGCCAAAGTACTGGAGTTTCAGCTTCAACATCAGTCCTTCCAATGAACAGCCAAGCTGATCTCCTTTAGGATGGACTGGTTGGATATCCCTGCAGTCCAAGGGACTCGCAAGAGTCTTCTCCAACACCACAGTTCAAAAGCCCATCAATTCTTCGGCGCTCAGCTTTATTTATAGTCCAACTCTCATATCCATACATGACTACTGGAAAAACCACAGCCTTGACTAGACGGAC